ACATGCCGACGCAAATCCTACAGCTTCAATACGCGGGATTTGCGCGAGTTGAAAAACAGCTGTCCGAGCTCACGGCGGCTATCCACAAACTCATAGGCACTCGCAGTGACGGATAGTAATTCTCATACACATACAAACACCCGAGGGGCAAAACACATCCACAAGCGCAACAAGCTTCGAGTGAACCCGCAACCATGGATCCTGCAATGGAACTGCGGTGGCTTACAACAGAAAATTCATGAATTCAAAACGCGTCTGTCAATACTTAGCAACAAGGCACCTGACGTTATTCTTCTTCAGGAGGCTAACGTCAGGAATCTTAAAATTAGGGGATACAACACTTACATTAACCCCAGTATACAAAGACAGACATCAAATTTCGGTATTGTAGTTACACTTATAAAGAAAAAGCACAAGCAGGCAAAATTGAATTCCGAGGCGTCATGTTCTGATGACCGCGAAGTCGTCTCCACGCGGGTCAAGTTTGGAGACACATCCATCAACATACATAACACATACATAAGACCGTGCGGGGACTCGAACGAGGTCAATTGGATAAAGGGCTTGGTAGAACAGAACAAGCATACCATCCTAGCTGGAGACTTCAACGCCCGACATACCGCGTGGGGATACCCGAACAAAAACGCCAGGGGAAAGCACATCAAGAGAGCATGCCTCGCAGCTGGGCTTCATCTATGCAACGACCCTGACACTCCAACACGGCTGGCCCAAGTCGCCAGCCAAAAAGACACGTCTCCCGACCTCACTTGGGCCTCTCCACGTCTACAGGCGCAATGGCAAGTCCAGACTGATCCATGGGGCAGTGACCACCTCCTTATACGCATAAAGCTCCCCATCAGCTCCTCGCCCAGGCGTCGAGTCACTTTCACAAAGTGGGACAACTTCGGCACCGCAATGAGCCGTCTTGCCAACGTCCCATTCGCAGACCGGATTCAGCGAGCCCTTCGGGAGTCCCGTGCGGAATACAACGTCAAGGAAGACACACCACCTCCCGACTTGCACCTGATCAAGCTGTGGGACAGGAGACTGGAGGCTCTCCAGCGCTACAGAGCCAGGAGATCCCTAAGGAATAAGATCCGCCTAAATCGCACGACAGCAAAGGCCAAAAAATACACAATCGAGCTCCGCCGCACTATCTGGCGTAGCCTGTGCGACTCCTTTAACGAACGGACAGGCTACCGCAAGCTGTGGCAAGCCTACAAAGGGCTTGCCGGGAAAACAAAAATGTGCAACACCGGAAGCAATCTGGCGCTCCGCCTTGACATCACGGAAGAGCAGCTTGCGGAAGAGGCAGGAGATTGTTTCTTCCCCCAACAGCCCGAGCCACCCGCCGCCGAAGTCTACGCCCGGGAAACCATCGTGCACGAACAGCCGGCGGACGCCCTTTTCACGCTCGCAGAACTCCTGGACGCTCTTGGCGCGGCACGAGCAAAGTCGGCACCTGGACCAGACCGTGTAACCATCACAGCGCTCCGGAACCTTCCACAAGATGCCATGAAAGAGCTCCTTGACACATTCAACACCATTTGGGTGAACGGTGAACTCCCATCCGACTGGAAGAGGTCTACAGTGATCCCTATCCCAAAGCCCGACAAGACACCACACGCGGTGGCTAACCTCCGCCCGATCTCCTTGACGTCCAACCTTTGCAAAGTTTTAGAACGCATGGTCACAACACGCCTGACGTGGATTCTTGAATCGACGGGTGCTTTCCATCCCATGCAAACGGGCTTCAGACCTCACCTTTCGGCACAAGACAGCCTGCTCATGATACATCATGATCTCTACCAGCGCCGGCTTTTTAAAAGCCAACCGCGTACGCTCGTGGCCATTGACCTACGGAAGGCATTCGATTCGATACCACACAGCGCAGTCGTGGCCGCCGCAAAGAAAAGAGGTATACAGGGCCGATTCCTGAATTTCATCAAAACATTCCTACAGGATCGCACGTTCCAGGTTTCTATCGGACAAACTAAAGGTCAATGGAGAACAAACAATATCGGTGTTCCACAGGGGGCGGTTTTGTCGCCGCTACTATTCAACATCGCCATGGTTGACCTGGCTCTCGCCCTTGAAGCCATCCCACAAATTCGCTTCACCATTTATGCGGATGACGTCACCCTGTGGACGACGGCAGGTGGGGCGGATAGCCAACAACGCTACATGCAGAGCGCGCTTGACGTTGTCATCACCTTCGCCATCCGATCAGGGTTGGAGTTATCTAAGGAGAAGACTACGTACATGGTTATACCCAGCCGACGCAGGAGCGCCCGTACCGACATCCAACTGAGGGTGGATGGAATCCCCATCGCCCAGAACAACTCCGTCAAAATCCTCGGGGTCCCATTTGACCACAAAGGCGGTGCAGTCACTTGGCTTCGGAGAGTAAAATCGCAGTGGAAGGAGGGTCTAGACTTGCTCAAGGCTATCTCGAGCAAGGCCTGGGGTGCACAGGATGATCTCCTCCGGCGACTCGTCCGTACCCTCCTAATCTCGAAGGTAGTGTACGGACTGAACTACCTCCGCCTTACAAATACTCAAGAAACCACACTAGTAACCATGCTGAGAGCGGCCATGCGGGTCGTTACAGGGCTCCCCCGCTTCACACCGGTTGAACAGCTAGAAAGGACCGCTCAAATGAACACCATCCGTGAGATTGCCGAGGAGATGCGGATAAGCCAAGCTCAGCGGCTATCTCGCACTCCTCACGGGCGAATTATTCTTGCCTCGATTGGCCGTTCCGACCTAATTGACGGCCCACTCATGCCTACACCGACGCCACCTTGGGATGCAGAGGCAGTCACTCCCATCAAGCCCCTCCCAAGTCATCAAGGACCTGATCACCCTGGACGACGTGCTACACAAGTAGCCATCCACCGCGCTGAAGTCAGCAAGCTTGCCGCGCACGTGGATGTCTTCTACACGGACGCGGCGAGAGACAACAACGGCCGCACTGCGATTGCCTGGCATTCCCCTACACGCAAAGAGACGAACCACAAGCTTACCGCATGTACACGGAGCAGTTGCATGGCGGAACTTCTGGCAGTTTTGTTTGCCGTTGAAACAGCCACGAACATGCCACGAGCAGAAACTACAGAAACTCGAATATACACCGACTCCCATGAGGCGATGCGTGCACTACAGCAGTCGAGCACATGCAACGTTACAGTTGCGCGCATCCGCGAACTGGTTCGTCAAGCCGCGGCTCGACAAACAATCACCATCGCGTGGATACCGGGCCACGCAGGCGTTCCAGGGAACGAGCGGGCGGACGGGGCCGCGAGGGCACTGCTACAGGCAAATACTCAGCCCTCACAAGGCCCGGTCCCCTCGCCCGTTCAACGGGACGTTCCACCTGACGAGGGCTTTGATCTAACCCAAAAGAAGAAGGAAGAACAAAGAGCACGAAAAGCGCGCCTTGCAGCGCTCCTACCTTCTAACCCCCACCCGATCCCTCGCGGGCTTCCACGATGGGAGCAAGTGGCACTACACAGGCTCCAGACTCGGACTACGGTGACTCCCTTTTGGCGTGCCAAGTTATACAAGTCAACAGATGAGAATGACACAGGTCCTGACCCTGGATGTCCACACTGTGGTTTCCCCGCGACTTGCTACCATCTTGTATGGTCCTGTGAAGGGACGTCACTAGAACGGATAGCGGCAATTAACACCCTACCACCGCACCTTAGACCAATGACCCTTCGGGAATGGACGCATCCGAGAACCTCAGCACCCGCAGAACGAGATCTCATCTTCGCATCAATCATCTCCTACCTCCGGTCCTCCGGGATCGGACGGTACGTCTAATCTATCACCATCATATCACTACCCCTCTCCCGCTCCCCCTTCCCCCATGCCACATGAGGTTCCATAGACCAGAGGCATGGAAATTAAATAAACGTTTCAATCAAAATCAACGGGTGTAGTGTTCGGTTTAGTGTGGTGCTCCGTTGTATTGATATTTGTGTGTGCCGTGTATGTGCTCGATGTACGTTCATCTGATGCGCGACCTCAGGCGCGGAACCAAGAGTTGGGGCTGCGGCTCGCTTCTACCATGGCCCCGAGGAAACAGGCCTGGAGTGAGAGTACTCCAGGAGAACTTTTATATGCAGTGAATATACAAGAGCATGGTCGACTAATTAATCGGCAATCGGCAGTCTGCAGTCGGCGATTTCTGGCTCCCCAATCCCAAGTTATATAGCCCTTCGAGGGCGAGAAGGCCCTCTGAGAGAGAGGAGCCTTCCCCGGTGTTCGAGTGTTCACGAGGTGTCCGAAGTGCGGGGGCGGCTGAGGCAATTTCCCGGTGTTCTTTCAGCGAGGGGCAGATGATGTAATCCCTCGACGTTCTTGCCGCGCTCCAGTGGCTGATGTAAGGTGGCGACGTTCTTGCTGAAACTCAATACCGACAGACCCCCACACACACAGGCACGCACACGTACGCCGGTGTTTCTCCTTGCGAGGGCCCGCGATTCCAGATGGTCTCGTGGCTTCGTTCTGTTTTTAGTTTAAAGCCCCCAGTGAAGGCCGTCGCAACAGTTCCTCCGCCGCCCGGAAGTCGGTCCCGAAGAGAAGAGGTCAGCAGCCACTCCTTTGAGGGACCGCAGTAGTGCCGATAAGGAGGTGGATCACCGTCTCCGGCTTTTCTTGAGTGCCGGGCATTCTCTCTGCTCATCTCCAAGCGCTTGGGGCAGCTTGCGAAAAATCTTGAGAGGATGATAAAATTGAACCAAGACCGCACTGCAAATGCGCATCTAGCAAACCCCTTCGAACACACACCAGGCACTAAAAGGTATGAAAATCGCTCTTAGCAAGATCGTAAGTAAAACGAAACCCCTACCAGGGCTCGGCACCCGCAAGAGAGCAACAAAAGGCACGAAACCAAAATCAATTGTATCCCAGCTTGGGTACAATTGTTTAGCAAAATAAAGTAAAATTTTGGTATCCATGAGCTCGCTCAGTAAAGACGTTTCTCTACTCACTTTTGAGCGTCGGCTCAAGCCATCCGCGTTGGTGTGCAGTTTACCCTTTTTGTACCTGACCTCAAAAGAAAACTGTTGCAAAGCTAGGCTCCAGCGAAGGAGTCGGCCATTTTTGGGCGACATATTCTGCAACCATTGGCGCCACCTAGCCTAGCTACTTGCAATTACTCTGCGGGATGGATGGATGGATGGATCTGGCTAAACCCTGTGAATCGGGCGGTGGCTTGTGCCACCTAGCCAACATTATAAATCTAATTATATGTTTTGAATGCCAAGATTAAATCTCACCCCTGCCTCGATTTTAGCCACCAGTCTGATAACCTCCGCTTGGTTATTTCTACCCGTGTAAAGTCTATTTTTCCTTCACTGTCTTTAAAACCCAATGCTTTGATTAAATCCGCCCGGTCACTGTTAACTGTTGGGTGAAGCCCTTTACAGAAAAGTATTAAGTGTTCAGCCGTTTCCTCCTGCTCCCCACACACACTACATAAGGTGTCCATCTCCTGGTACTTAACCCGGTACGTCTTAGTCCGCAATACTCCTGTCCTGGCCTCAAACAACAAAGAGCTTCCCCTAGAATTATCGTAGATATTTTCTTTGCAAATTTCCTGTTTGAACATTCTGTACGTCTCCAGTGTTGGTTTTGTCTGCATACCCGTTTCCCACAGACCCTTCTCTGTTTCTTTTATCCTTTTCTTAACCCGTAATTCCTGGTTGGCGCCCCCACTGCCGCCCAAATATTTGCTTGATAATTTTCTAGTTCGCTTTCTCTATTTGGTATCTACATTCCTCATGTACAAATAACTGAAAACTTTCCTAGCCCACTGCTCTTCCTCCATTTCCCTCAAACGCTCCTCAAATTCTATCTTGCTGCTAGCTTCCCTGCCCTCGAATGACGTCCATCCCATGTCGCCTTGTACCCCCTGATTCGGCGTATTTCCATGAGCTCCCAAAGCAAGCCTACCTACGCCCCGCTGTTTAATTTCTAACTTTGCTTGAATATCTGGTCTCATGCACAGGACCGCATTGCCTAAGGTCAGGCCGGGAACCATGACCCCTTTCCAAATCCCCCTCACCACTTCATACCTACTGTAATTCCACAGAGCCCTATGTTTCATGACGGCTGCATTCCTGCTACCTTTCATCGCTACATGTTTTTCATGCTCCGTTAGATACTCAACACCATTATTTATCCATACCCCAAGATACCTGTACTTATCCACTACCTCCAACATGACCTCTTGTATCCTGTGCTCGCCACCATCTTTATCATTAAAAATCATCACTGCCGATTTTTCTTGACTAAATTTAAGACCTAGTTTATCTCCCTCTGTACCACAGATATCCATTAATTTCTGCAAATCTTCTTTGTTGTCGGCCATTAGCACTATATCATCTGCATACATCAGCCCCGGTAGTGATTGTTTAATCCATTCACCTTGCTTGATGAAAGAAAGGTTGAAGCCAAACCGGCTCCGCTCTAGTTTGTTCTCCAATCCCTGTAAGTATAACATGAACAACAAAGGCGACAAAGGGCAGCCTTGCCTAAGCCCCCGCTCTATCTCTATAGGCTCCGATACATTTGTTTCCCATTTTATACGCACCTTGTTGCTATTATATATATCTTTTAAAAGATTAGTTACTCCAGCTTCTACCCCTAATGTACCCAGTATGCCCCACAAATTCTCTTGAATTACACTGTCGTAGGCTCCTTTGATATCCAGAAACGCTAGCCATAGGGGCCTTTGTTCCTTTTCTGCTATTTCGATACACTGCGTTAAAGAGAACAGATTGTCCTCTAACCTCCTTTGCTTCCGGAACCCATTCTGCAGCTCCCCCAGCACCCCCTCGCTCTCCACCCATGCCTGCAGTCTATCCTTTATAATCTGCATCACCACCCTGTAAATCACTGACGTCACCGTTATAGGACGATAGTTGTTTATGTCCGCTTTGTCCCCCTTTCGTTTATATATCATGCTCATCCTGCTTAGTCTCCATTCATCGGGGGCTTTCCCATCCGTTACCATTTTATTCACTGCCTCTCTTAATGCTTGCTTAGATTTTGGGCCCAAGTTCTTGATTAACATAATGGGAATACCGTCAGGGCCTGTCGATGTGCTACTAGGAACTCTTTTCTCTGCCCTTTCCCATTCTCTTTGTCCGAACGAATCCATAGCACTTACCGGTCTGTTCTCCTGCGATAAAGCATGTGCCTCATTCCTTCGGTCTTTAAATTTTTCCGCCATCATTGTCCCTATATGCTGCATTGCCTTATCCCCTTCCAGTCGAGTACCTTGAGCTGTAACTATAAACCTCTGTTCTAAACTTGTCTTATTACTCATGGAGTTCAGATGTTTCCGAAATTTCTTGGCTGCTTTTTATCCTTTTTGTGCACTTTTGACAACCATTGGGACCCCCTTGTTCTCATTTTCTCACTGATTAAACAGGATGCTTTCTTCTATAAATTATGAAATTATCCCATTTTCTGTCTACTTCGGCTTTTGGTTCCCCCCACTGATCTCAATGACAATTGCTGGATCGCGCTTGCCGCTCCCGCAAGTGAAGCCACCGGGCTTCACTCGCTTGGGATACGATTTGCCGTTTTTGCTAGCCTTTGCTGCGGTTTTCCAGCGTGCTGACGACACGTTTTCTACTCGTTCGTCGTCATTCGCCGAAGAAGTTTTTTGAAGACTCTGTGTATTGTTGAGACTTGCCGTTGTGAACACGTGGAAAATTTTACGAAAGTGCAGTGTCGCAGGAAAAAGGCACAACGCGTCGAAAGGAAGGGCTGGCGGCGTGTTCAAAGCTTCCTTGGCACGCCGAAGTGCCGTGTCTCTGTGCCTTCGCGCGCTTGGATACCGACCAAGAACCGACGCCGCGTGAATGTGTTTAGCGAGTGCAATGTGCGTGAAGCCGTATCAAAAGGCACAACTCGTCGAAAACGTGTCGCCGGTGTCGCGGCGTGATCAAAGCTTCCTTGGCACGCCGAGTGATGCATCTTTGTGCCTTCGCACGCTTGGATACCGGTCAAGAATTGACGCCGCGCCAAAGTTCTGAACATGTGTCGCGCGTAGATGCCTTTAGATCATTTATATATATCGGCCACGGAGTTCTGGATCGTCCAGCTGTTCCGGTGAGTTGCAATCAATAAAAGGGGGAGATCTGTACGTGTTCTTATGTACTATATTAACCATGGCTATGTCCCAAATCTACTCTAATAGATTCCGTGGGAGCACGAATAGGGCAACGTTGTGGAGCCAGGGGGGTTTTCGAAAGCAGAAGTACAAGACGGCGAGAATGAAAATCTTTGAAGCGCGGCCGATATGGTCGTGTGCAATCTGTTGACCAATTACAATTAGGCGAGCCGCGCTCAAACGTCAAGTGCAATTAAGTAGGTTGATAATAAGCCAGCACTGATCAGTGATGAGGAGCTGTTGTGCACGGTATTGTGTAAATCGTCTCAGGACGAAAAAAAGACGTACCTTCTCTCCATCTTCCGTCGCTAGTGGACGCTGGATTAAGCTCGTTCCTAAACCGCGAGGGGAAAAGACGCTGATCCAGAGGCACGAACAGCTTCACGCACATTGCACTCGCTGAACACATACACACGGCGTCGGTTCTTGGTCGGTATCCAAGCGTGCGAAGGCACAGAGACACGGCACTTCGGCGTGCCAAGGAAGCTTTGAACACGCCGCCAGCCCTTCCTTTCGACGCGTTGTGCCTCTTTCCTGCGACACTGCACTTTCGTAAAATTTTCCACGTGTTCACAACGGCAAGTCTCAACAATACACAGAGTCTTCAAAAAACTTCTTCGGCGAATGACGACGAACGAGTAGAAAACGTGTCGTCAGCACGCTGGAAAACCGCAGCAAAGGCTAGCAAAAACGGCAAATCGTATCCCAAGCGAGTGAAGCCCGGTGGCTTCAGTTGCGCTGCAGCGAACAAGCGGGGAAGCGCGATCCAGCAATTGTCATAGAGATCAGTGGTTCCCCCCTTTGCTTGGAATGTCTGTGTTCCCTAGATGCTTCCTGGCGTCTCTCTATGGCGTTCTTAACCTCCCCATCCCACCAGCTCTTGGGTTTATGCCTTCCTTTTCCTTTTTCTCTAGGTCGGACCTTGGATAGCTCTCGCTCAAATAATCTCATTAAATTTGTGTAAGTCCATTCTGCTGTGGTATCGCCAGAAATTAATTCCTCAATTTGTTTGGTTGCTATCTCCAGTTGCTTCTCCGAGTAAAAGATCCTGAACCCGCTAGCCCGCCATCTTTTGGCTAGCGATTCAACCTTTCACGCTATGCAATAAACAGCGGCTTCGAGTTTGTTCTTTCGAGAGCGGCTTTTGGAACTTTTGGTTCGCGGATTGAGTTTGCCCTTCTCCGTGATGTACTGTTGACGAAGGAATTGTGACTCGAGGAACACCTAAGGTAAGACGCAAAGTGCGCAAAGTGCGCGAAGTAACTGGGTATCGGTTGTCTCCGTTTAACATCGCAGTGCTGTCGACGAGAAGACTGAGTAACTGCTTTCGAAACGCCTGTGGCGGGAATCTGGCTTCGGAAATAAACACAGTTCGCGGAAAGCTCGTGTTATGCTTTTATTTGCTGCTCCTCTCGTCCCGTACAAGAGACGTAGCGTCCTCGTCAAGCCTTATTGGGCTCGATTTGCTCGATTCGGGGCCGCCATATTGAGATGCAAGCGACGGAGGAACTTTGCTCCCCTGCTTCAGGGACGAAAGTTTCTCCCTTTCTAAAGGAACATAGGTTACAAGACCGTTCCTCCCCTAAGGGAGGACTATCCATACCCTTTTTTCTAAGAGTGTACTAGAATACACCGCAGTCTAGCCTTCGACCTGATAAAACGTACTGGACGGAGCGCGCGCAAGCCTACAAGGAGTCCTTCTACAATCAACCATCCATCTTACACGTGACATGTCACGCGCACCAATCGCCAGAGAGATCTGCGGTCACGCTGGCCACAAAATCGTTTAAACTTTTTATGACTAGGCGTCACCAATATTGCAACGTGCCCCCTCCTAGTACTTCTAACCTCCTTGGTTACAGGGGTGCCATCCCCGTCTCCCCAGCGGACGCGCCGCGTCTTGCTACCGAGGTTAAAATGCACCTAGGTCGGGACGCGC